TTATAGGTTCATCTAGTTGCAAACTTGAGAGATCTTCTTTGTGTGAAATCCTAAGACCAAGAGTGTCTGGAATAATTGCTGTTGCAGTCATAAAAAATATGTATAGTGAACGAAGACTTCCAAGTTGTGTAGCAGTATATGATTTGCAGAAAGCTCAGGTTCTTGCTTTGATAAGGCTACAGTGGTATGATGAACAGCCTGAAGTACTGCACAATAAAAGTTCAAATGCATTCAGAATTTTCCAGTCTCAAACTGTTCATTAATTAAAGCAGGCAATTTCAGACCTGAAGGAAAAATAAAAGCACAGCCAAAACTTAGCTGGCAGTTGTTTGATAGTTGAGCTGGCAGCAGGCTTTTTTCAGAAAAATACTTGTGTGATCGCTAGTGTTTGCAAATACCTTACCTTTTAGCTGAAATCCTTTTTTTTTTTTTCTTTTTAGTTTCAAGCCAAAAAGTGTGCTTTTTGCAGTCTTATAAAATACGTATGTTGAAAGAAAACTTCTGAGTTATGTAGCAGTACATGTCTTGTAGAAAGCTTGAATTCTTGCTTTGATAAGGCTACAGTGGCATGATGAAGCACAAACCAAATGAGTTTGCTAGGAATTGTGTGCTGTCCCTTTTAGGTGATGTGTAGTGCAGCCCAGTTCTGGATGTAGTCTATACAGAGAGACAGCAATTAGAAATGAGCCAAACTTGTTCCTCCAAAAATAGAGAAAATTAAGGATATTTGGAAAGCTATGGAATATTTTGCAAGGTCGGTGTGAAGTGTTGTGGATGTTGTTGGGTTCCAGTAAACTATAGCTTCATAGTAACTCTTTCGTAAACTTTCTGGCTTATGAATTTGTTAAATAACGACCACATTTCTGTGTAGAAAAGAAGGATAAACCCATTCTGGCAGACTTCACGTTTAGTAGCATGGCTGTATGCTTAGCAGGGGGAACTACATCCATTTCAGTTATGGAGTAGTGGATGTTAGAGGAGACTGGGTGGAAAAGGTGAAGACTCACACAGTAGAGTTTATGTCGATGCATTTCTTCTTCAAAGAAAGTTAAAATAGTTTGGCTTGAAGCTCTGCTGTGTTTAAAAGACCATTTAAAAAGAAAAATTTCAATGTTGGCGTGCTTCTTGTAGCGTTAATGTATCCTGTTTCCAACCTTCTTTTGGAACAGAAAGAGAAAGTATGAAAATGTTTAACTAAACTTTTAATTATTTTCCTAAATAAACAGAAGACTCAAAGCCAAAATGTTTGTATCCAAGTTTTCAGTTATATAAACAATGCTAAAATAAACAGTTTACCCCAAACCTGTTGTCCTAAGGGCTGTATCCTGTTTAGAAGTGTAAGCTTGTTTACCATGACATAAGACATGGGTTTTCCATGCCACGTCCTGCCTGATCTACAACTTCTCTCTTGCTTTGTGGATTCCTAGGGGCCCCTTAATATTTGGTGCTGGAAAACCAGTTACGTGAGCTCTGCGTTTTGATTCATGTTAGGCTTCATCCTGTTCATCAGACAGTGGTGGTTTCGCCCTCTGCCTCGAGTACCTTCTGGCCTCATGGATTTGGTATGACTAATGGTCTCCTTTAGTAGTTTGTATGTCTTGGTCCATTTCCTTTTTCTCAATTCTCTTGAAACAGTAAAGCACCTTTCAGCACGGAGAGGGTGGTTGCGTTGCGTCTTGCCTGAGCCCCTCTTACAAACGAGGCAATCTACTTGCCCTGGTTTGGGGGTAAGTCACCTCATCCTGAAGGATGGGTTCCATTTGCTAAGAAAGCAATTTAATGCTTTTAAGTAGAATAGTAGTTTTCCTCTTTGTTTAGAAGTGTGTAAAATAGAAGATTTCTTGTGGAACCTTACAATAACAAATATTCACCAAGGACATGACCCCTTCCCCCTGCCCCTCCCAAATGAACACAACTCTACTCCAGTTTGATTTTGGTGTCTCTATCGCTCATAATTTGGCTGGCAATCCAGTGCTTAAATTTATTTCTTGAGTGTCAAACTATTATTCTTCTTGCGGAAGAATTCAGGAAAGCTGGATGAAAAATCAGCTCATTTATGATTGGGTATTTTCTAATATTTAAAATATACCTGCCAAATCTTCTTGTCTGTAGAGGCTTTCTTTTGCAAAAGGGTGAGAATCTCCTTGGACTAATAACTGGTTGAGTTTTATTTTAAGCTAATGATTGCTGGCTTTCAAGAAATTATCGTCTACCATTTTGTTTAATAAGAAAATTAGATTTCTTTTCCTGTATTCCATGAATATTCTAGGATATATTTTACCAGTTTAAATGAAACAGAAATGAACTGTCAAGATTGATACTTCAAAGGAATCTACAGGTCATCAGGAATACTTCGTCAGTTAATTGTTTGTAAATGTGTCCCTTTCTCATACATGTAAAAGGGTTTAAAGTATTCTGTGAGCACTGAGGTCTTTTATCCCTTCAGTTGCTTATGGAATACTAATGAAAGTAATGTATGTGCATCATGTGGAAAATATGTTGGCAGACAGATACCTGCAGTGCCTTAAATGCTTTGGCATTGTCTTTGTTTAATCAGCACAGTTGATCCCTGCTTCCCCTAGAGCTTTATACTTTCAGAATAAGATCAAAGGTTTATATGAAAATTTAAGCAAAAGTAGAATTCACCTATTTTAGAGATGAATGAATAGATAAACAGAAGCTTAAAAATAAAACCTTAGGCACTCCAGTCTCTAATATAAAATGTCTTGTAGGAACAATAATTACAGTAGTTATATATATTTAAAAATCAGACATCTGAGATGTTAACAGAAGAATTTCCTTGAATTAAGTACCTAACTGATTAAAGTTTTGTGATTTGTTTTCATGATGCTTTCTGGAAGAGTAGATGTTTTATGCTGTTTCTGCGTGCTTTGCTAAATTAATAAGCTGACTTGGCATTGAAAATGCTCTTTGAGGAATGCCAAAAAAAAAAAAAAACCCTCTTAGATTAAAAAGTAACAGTTAAAATATCCATTACAATTTTTTGGGTAGTCTGTCTACCTTTTCGTGGCACTAATTCTTTTTGTTGCCATTTATACCTGCTTAAATTGGTATAGAGCACGTTGGGTGGCTGTTCCATTGAAGGCTGATTCCAGTAAATGTTTAGTGGCATAGAGAAAAAGCCTAGGAGTATCAACAGTTAAATTAAAATTATGATGCAGATGTGGTATATTATTGCTAAATAGAAAATACATAAATGGAATGGTTTCAGTAAAACTACAGGGAAACTAGAGTACAAAGCAATTACATTAAAACAAGATTATGACCAATGGTACTATTTATTAAAAAAGTATATCAGCAATGTTTTCTGAACGTTGTTCATGCTTCTTTATCAGAAGTGAATTTTGATGTGTTAATATTTTATCTCTACTGTATGGCAAAATAATGGTTATTTTGTTAAGAAAATTTCACAATATTTATCAATTGTTATATGTTTGCAACTGACACCACACTTTCTGTTTAGTAATAGGTTGCTGCTGAAATAGCAGGGATGGGCTCTGCATTTGAAGTTAGAGCATCACCAGTGAATGCATTTGGGTTCAGTTTGATAACACTTATATGTGTGTGAAATCTTCACTGTAATGTTGCAGTGACAATATTTTTTTCTCTGTAATTATGAACTTATGAGGGGCACAGTGAGTTACACCTACCCAGCTACTTAGAAAATATCTAATTTAGGAAATAATTTCTAAGAAAACTGTGGGCTTTAATTCTGTTTTCTGAAAATGTTGTTTGTTTGGACTAGCTTTCATACATCAGCCCAGTGCTTCTCATATGAGTATACAGCTGAAGTTTGAGTATCTGAGTTAATGAAATAGTAGATAGTCGAAAACATGTGGTGGAGAGTTTTTCCACAGGATGAACTTCACAATTTATTATTAAAAATTATTCCTGCACCTAAGCAGTATATCATGCTGTCTGGTCATCTTCTAGTTTTTATCAGGTAGAGCTTGTAACTACCAGAAAGTTGTGTACTCTTTAAAATGGCAACCTATTTTTTTAAAAAACTGTCAGAACAGTGTATTTACTTTCAACTGAAATGTTGAAAGTAAATATAGAAACTGAAGAATTTAGCTTCAACTGAATTGCTTCAGCAACTTTTAAATAAAATAGGCGTATTTGGGTTTTTTTGTACCTTGGATATAATGAGTTCAGTAGGACTCTGTATTCCTAAACTCTGCAACACTTAAGTGCAGTTTGGAATAAGAGACTCTGACTACTGAGTTCACAGTTTTCTAAGAAATGTGCCAGAGTTGTGACTTTATAGAAATAAGCTTGTCTCAGTTATTTTGTGATATTCCAATTTTCTGTGGCCTCTCACTAGTCAGTTCAGTTAAATTTGTATCAAAATTGTATTTGAAACAGTTACTTTTATTGTTACTACAATAAGCTTTTCCTCTGTTTTGGACAAAATAGGAAATAGGACCAAGCATCTTTTGTGTTCTGACTTTTCTGCATGTATGTGCATCTTGTTGGTAGAAGTAATGTTATTAATGCTACATGAGGCTGCTGCTCTTACTACAAAACAAAGTTACTATATAGGCAAATCCTAAGGTACTGTATAGTTCCAGTGTCTCTTGGACAGGTTTGCAGGAACGTATTAAATCAGGCACTAAATGTCATAAGTTTCAGGGGGAACTTACTATTCTTCCAAAACGTAAATTAAAGAACCCTTCCCCCTCACTCTTGCAATTGGTAGATAATAGTTTTAGTATCTGAAGCTGTGCATACCAGGGAGTAAAATTCTGCCTGAACTACAGAGAGATGTCATGTCTACTTGCCACAGCATGTTTTTGAAGTCTTTTGTGTAATAGCAACTGTTTTAAAAGCATATTTTGTTGAGGAAAAAATACACTAGATCATAAAATGAGAAGGGCAGGCTTGTTTTTAATGTGTGTGAGAACATTCAGTCTTACGAATGCTGATGTTAGTCCAAGAAAAGATTGATTAATCTAATTTAAAATTTATTTTAGTTCTCCTCAAATAGATATGGATAAGAAAATGGGTGAAGAGCAACCTTTGACTGTGTGTAACCAGTACCCTAAAGAAGCGGTGAGGAAACGTCAGAATTCGGGTCGAGGTTCCAGGGGCAGCGATTCTTCCAGGACCTCCAGGAAAAGCTTCAGGCTGGACTACAGATTAGAAGAGGATGTAACTAAATCAAAGAGAGGCAAAGATGGGAAGTTTGTCAACCCGTGGCCAACATGGAAATCGCCAACCTTGCCAAATATTTTGAAATGGTCCCTTATGGAAAAAAATAACAGCAACGTGCCATGCTCAAAGCAGGTAAATACTTGCATGTTTCCTGTTCTTGGTTTAGACTGCTTTTACCTCTGCTCTACTCAATAAAATAGGACAGTTTCTAACTAACACTTATTAGGCATCTTTTGGAGACTTTTCTAAGTGTTATTTTTCTAATCTTTATTATCACTTCATTCTTTTCAAAAGGTGGGTTACTACTTCCTGCCTCTTTAGGTTGTTTGTTTTTTTTTTCTCCTTTCTGTTAGTTCCACACCCTTGGATTGATCCAGCTTAGTTTGTATTTACAAAACCAACAAAAATGGCCCCCTAGCTCAGTCATAAACTACAGTTGCACTTTTCTTTTTAATACGTGTTGCCTTATGAAGCATAATACATAACATTACTCGTATTGGATGAAGCAGCTGAATAATTGTGGTATAACTAATTTTAAAAATTTTACCTTCCCACCCCCCCCCCCCGTTTACTACATACATTACATCTTTTTCATAAAAATGTAATAAATATTTGCTCTCACTTACTTATGGAAGTGTTTGCAAATCTATGTTTTTCTGTTTCAGTACACCAGGAGAAAAAATTGCATATGTTAAAACTAACCTGAGCAAGTATTTGTACTGAAATACTAAAGGTACGGTGCCAGTTTACTGGGAAACACCATTATTTGTTCTTGGTGTATTGCTTCTGTCAGATATGGTATATAAAGAAAGAGGCAGGGGAAGCAACTTCTGAGAGAAGCTTCTTTTCTGTGAAGAGTAATGGATACTGGAAAGCCCCGGGTTATCTTTGTGGCCACAATGGGTGTTATGATGGCCACAGTTTTGACAGTTAGGATTACTTCTCAGTGTATTTTCTAATGTGTTTACTGCACTTCGGAAAAGCCGTGCTGAAGGGTGTGCAACCAGGAAAAGCATTTTTGAACAAATAGGTGGTGTTAATGCCTTTAAGCATCCAAGAAGCCAAGCATAAGCTATAAATCTCACAGTCAGTATTTAGCAAATAGCTTACACTTTTCATTTTCATCTTATGTGAATTAACTGTGAAGGAAGGAATTTGATCAGCTTTACAGACAGGAAGGCCACGTTACTTACTAACACATGATAGTCAGAGGTTTGGGGATTTTTTTTTTTTAAGGATGTGTGGCACGGAACATGTTTAAGGGAGAAATAATCTTGGCTGTAATTGTTCTGTAGTAATAACAATTTGACATTGGAAAGAAGCACAACAAACCTATTTTGGTCTTGGGATCCCTTTCAGCAATTTACTGTTTTAAATTTGGTGTCTTGCTTCTACACATTGTCTGCACCTTGTAGTAGTAACAGTGGTTGTGTCTCAGTGCGTACAGCTTTCAAGGCAGTGTGCTGCATTATGATACTTTGGCCACGTTTTTGTGTAAAATTCACACCTTGGCTTTTTCAGTCGCCTTTGACCGTTGCCCTATTCTGTATGTGTACAGTAGGCTTCGTATTTTGCCAGAAACCTGGTTAGTGACTGAAGTACCTAGAAGGCGGTGCTAAGGTGTACTATAGAGTGCAGAATATGCAGGTCTGATGGCAGTGGAGAACTGTAGCACTCCCCTTTAATTTCCAGATTATCCCTGCAATAAAGGATGATTACAAAGAAATCTACACTGTACCAGTTGTAAAGCTCTCTCTGACCCAGTTGGGATTAATTTTGGATTAATTTTATTGCTTTGCATCTGAAATTTTTTAATTAAGTGCCTGCAATTATTCAGCAGCTCAGCAAAGTAAATCAGAAATAGAAAAACCTAGATAGGGATCAATGAAATGCACTTCTTGGGTACTCAGCCATTTCGATGCTTGTTCCAGCTACGTTTGCTCCACACCTAAATCAACCCATAAAGCACTTCTGAGCTTGTTTAAGATTCATACTAAGGACTCCATACTTTATTTAGCACTGCTAGGTAGCAGATTCCTACTTCAGTTTCCACATCGAGTGTGCCTGGTGATACCCGGCTATGCTGGGCAGGTTCAGTTTATCTGTACCAAGTGCTTTGCATATGTAAAAAAAAAAAGCATATGTTACCCCAGATGTGTGCTTCACTGGGTAAAAGCTATATGTATTATAATCATGCCTCCACAACAAGCCTCTGTCATTATCCAGAATGCATAGGCTTTTTCTACTTTCATGACAGGCTTTATTAATAACTTTTTTCAGTGCCGTTGAAGTGTCTTTAATTATTAGTTGTTGGATCAACAATTTAGATTGTTCTCATTGCTGTAAAATCCAGTGGTACTCCAGTACACACTAAGCACCGAAAATCCTCAGCTAATTAGCTAGTCTTACCAAAGCCCGTCATGTGTTTCTTCTTGCTTTGTATTAGGAAGGAAAGAAGAACATGGGAAGGGGGAAGGGGCACAGCAGGAGGAATTCTTGTATTACTCCAGTGAGGAAGATAAGACAGTATTAGGCACATTTAGCTCATGTTGGTAGCTGATTTGACATTAATGCCATATTTCAAAGATCCGTTATAATTCTTGTAGTATTAATGTGTTTCTGGTTAGTCTGACAGAGAACAAAATGTACTACAGCAGGATAAAGGTTCCATAAGATTATGTATTTCGTTCATTATGTTGTTTTATTTTGTTGTATGAGTTTTAAGAATTTCATTTGATGTGTGCTGCCAATAGAACTTGTGTTTTAGTTTGAAATCTTATGAGTTGAGTAAAGAGTCCTTATTGCTTTAAAAGGTAATTTGGGGGATTTTAGTGTACTTTTGTAAAATGTTAAAAAAAAACCCCAAACCCCATGCACTGAGAATTAATTTCTTTAGCTATTTCCCTGTGTGATTTACTATGATAGCTCAAAATAATGCCTGATTTCTGATCTCATCTCCCAGGGAATCACTGATTTGGATCAGATGCCTATGTATCACAAACCTGTAGATCTCATACTGAGTTAGTGCTTTCCAGGTTACATTGCCTTTGTGCTTTTGGTTTGCCTTGAATTTTTGTTCACAGAATTTTCTTTAAATACGTTAGCATACTAGCTGTTCAAACTGTTCTGCCCTTTATTTATCAGTTTTCCTGTCTACATGTCCTCCACAAATCTCCACAAATGCCTTTTATAGTCATTAGTTTTACCTTTAAATCAACTGTTCAAAATATTTCATAGTGTCAGTCCTAGTGACATCCCTGTAAAGCCTTTAACAGTGCAAATGTGTTGTGGTTTAATCCCAGCAGCAGCTCAGGCCCACGCAGCCGCTCGCTCACTCCCCCTGCAGCGGGACAGGGAGAGAATTGGAAGAGTAAAAGTGAGAAAACTCATGGGTTGAGATAAAGACAGTTTAATAAGTAAAGCAAAAGCTGCATGCACAAGCAAAACAAAACAAGGAATTAATTCACTCCTTCATCTCCAGGAGCAGGGCTCCAGCACGTGTAACGGTTACTTGGGAAGACAAACGCCATCACTCCCAACGTCCCCCCCTTCCTTCTTCTTCCCCCAGCTTTATATGCTGGGCATGACGTCATATGGTGTGGGATATCCCTTTGGGCAGCTGGGGTCAGCTGTCCCAGCCGTGTCCCCTCCCAGCTCCTTGTGCACCCCCAGCCTACTGGCTTTGACGCTGTGTAAGCACTGCTCAGCAATAGCTAAAACATAAGCCTGTTATCAACACTGCTTTGGTCGCAAATCCAAAACATGGCACTATATTGAGCTACTAGGAAGAAAATTAACTCTATCCCAGCCAAAACCAGTACAATATGTTTAAATCCCAGTTAAGAACTCATTGTTCACATCTGCCAATTAGCCGGTTCTTAATCCATTTAGTAGTATTGCTTAATGTTGCATGATACTAATTTTAAAAACTAGTTTGTGTGAAATGACAGCAAAAATAAAGTGCATTCACTTAGAGTTCTCAGAATAATTTGTAGTCTACCTTTAAAAACAACTACTTAAAAAGAACGTTTTCCATAAAAAATGTGCTCACTGACCTAAATTGCATTATGACAATTAATTATTAAATTCCATATCTGAGTTTAATTTCCTTGATATAATCTGATTTGTTGGCTTAACCACATGTAATTTGGTGGGTTGTCCTAATTTCCATTTTTGAGTATTATGTTAGTTTTATGGATCTTTCACTCCTTTTTTTTTAATTGAAGTGTCACAGTATAACACTCTCTGTGGTTCAGATTTCTCCTGTCAGTGTCGTTCCCATGTACTTAGAATGAAATAGAGATAAGAAAGTGATGTTACTTTCTTGAAGAAGCAGCAGATTATTTCCGTCTAATACTCACACTTTGTTTAGTCTTGTATGAATTAAGTGATTGTATTGTACTAACCTTATATTCAGCTTTATGGCAGGTTATCTATTACTTGTTCCTGGAGACAATAATGAAACTTTTTCAGTAGACATGTCTTGTCCATTAGCTCTCCGAAAAAGCAGTTTCATTAATATTGTATCACTTAGAGTAGGATTGCAGGGAGTAGGGTGTGTGTCTTTGTTTTTTCCCAACATATGCCCTCCAAATCATTAAAATATTGTGGAGAAAGTAACTTTCCTGAAGCTGTCAGGACTGTTTTAGCAAGGGAAATCCTAGACTCCTAAACTGTCGCAGCATCAGCTGGGCTTTTAAGGGAGCAGGAGGTCAGCTCTGTATAAGCTCACTGATAGCACTAATCTGCTATCCTAGACCTAGAGAACGAGAGCAGCAACCGTGATAGGGAGACGCTGACTAGGAACCAGAAGTGCTGGGACACCTGCGATTACCGGGGAGAGGAGAGTGTCAGGAGTCTGCAGAAGGTGCCTTAGGAGAGCCTTAGCTGTGCTGTGGCAGAGCTGGAGATGGTCAGGAGTCCCGAGAGGACTTTCTGTTTGGTTGGTTTTTATAGTAGGAAAACTCTTTATTACAATAAAGCTTCTGCATAAGCATTTCAACCAAACTGCAGTGAAGAACGTAACTCCTGTTCAAGCTGAGAGAATGAGCAGTGGTTTGATAGTGAGTTTCAGTAGATAATGTACAGCCATGGCCTCCTTTGTGCCAACTGACCTCTTGAAGCTGTACATAGAGTCAAATTTGGAAGCTGATCAAGCTGAAAGCTGCCTGTTTTCCTCCTCTGGATTAATGTTCAGCTGGATCAGTTCTCTGACCTGTCAGACTTGAGTGGGGACTGCATAAGCATTGAGGCTGGAACAAGAGGGCAGGTGGGGGAAGGTTTCCATAACTTTGTTACACATGAGTATAGATTTACGTTGGTTTAAGGCATTCATGGGACTGCATCCTGAACATACAGGGAGATCAGTATAGCGATTTATTCAGTAATAATTAAACTTTAATTACCTAGAACGCTTCAATAAAACATCGTGAGAAGCATAGCTATAAGTGCCTAAAAGACCATCTTAAAAAGGAGATCTGAGTTTTAGTTTGTTTTACGAATGTTTATTGAATTATTGGCAGGATGGAAAGAGAGAATGGTAAAAGCTAACATTAGCCATGTGAAGTTAACCTCCACACGCTGCTTCTAAACATAATGGAGAAGGAGGGTCTGCTAAAGGCTAACAGAACAGAGCTTCTGTGGAATGCTGTTGGGAACGTTGCATTCTCCTTCATCTGTGGGTTTGTGACTTACTTGTGCTAGGACTTAGGGGACGCATCATTTCGTTGCGCAAGCTAAACTTGAGCATTTGTTACAGTAACAGTGTGTGTGTGTATATATATATATACACACACATATATATATATATATATATTCTTTTCCAGATCAGGAAGGCCAACTGATTGCAAAGCCTTTCCCAGGATGTTGTCAGTGCCTTGCAGTGCTTTCATTGCAATATTTTCAGACTGTTTCTCCATTAGTAGGTCTCCTGGCCTGATGTGGTACTCTTGAGCGCTCTCCTCTCTCTCTTGACAGAGATGTGAAAATGCTATAAAAACCTAAGATAAAATTAGGAGGAAGTAGCTGGGAGAATGGTCATTAAAAAGGCATCTGTTTTGTGTTGCAGTTCTCTGGTTGCCTAAAAATATAAACAAAATGCTAGTCTTGACTGTAATGATTTGTGCCTTGTATGCAGTTTCTGTTCCACGGCCAAGTACGTTCTGAAGTCCCTCATGCACGTTGTGTTCTTTTTTGCTAGGAACTCGATAAAGAGCTTCCAGTGTTAAAACCTTACTTTGTTCAAAAGCCGGAACTTGCTGGGAAGACGGGAACTGGTATGCGAGTCACCTGGTTGGGACATGCCTCTGTTATGGTGGAAATGGATGAACTTATATTTCTAACCGACCCAATCTTCAGCCAGCGAGCTTCCCCTACTCAGCTGGTGGGTCCCAAGCGCTTCCGAGGACCTCCGTGCACAGTAGAGCAGCTCCCCAAAATCGATGCAGTCATGATCAGCCACACCCATTATGATCATTTGGACTACAATACTGTAACGAGTTTAAATGAACGCTTTGGGAGTGAGCTGCGCTGGTTTGTGCCCCTAGGGCTCTTGGACTGGATGCAGAGATGCGGTTGTGAGAACGTGATTGAACTGGATTGGTGGGAAGAGAACTGTGTCCCTGGTCACGATGCGGTAACTTTTGTCTTCACCCCTTCGCAACATTGGTGCAAAAGGACTGCGACAGATGATAACAAGGTTCTTTGGGGCAGCTGGTCTGTCTTGGGACCTTGGAATAGGTTTTTCTTTTCAGGAGATACTGGATATTGTGTTGCTTTTGAACAGATAGGTAAAAGGTTTGGACCTTTTGATCTTGCAGCCATCCCCATTGGAGCTTATGAGCCAAGGTATGAAAATCAAAGTTTAATCAAAATACATATATGAAATGATATACTAATGACAAAAAAATACACCCAGAAGTGAAAGCTGTAGGTATGCTTGTATTAATATTTTATAATAGAATACAGAGGCAAAAGAAGGAAATTGCTGAATGACCAAAAAAAAAAGCAGGCAATTGGATGATGGAGCTGAAATGTCTAGGATACTTGCCTGTGTATGTGTGGTGTTCTTGGAGGGTTTTTTTTTCTTCAGTGTTAAGCACAGCAAGGATGAATCGGCTGACTTTCTTCCATGAAAAATGTTGAGTAAAAATCTGGAATTACTTTGTGCCTTTTTCTTTTAAGTAGCATCGCTTAATCCAACTGTTCAGATGCATGCAATTTTCAGCATTTTTCTCTTGCTTCAGTCCTTAACGCTGTTTTTGCAACTTACCTGGAGATAAAGATGAATCCTTTATAGAGTATGAAAGATCTCTTTGTTTAAGCATCTGTATTGTACTTATGACGGGGTATCTAAACCTTTAGATGATAACGCTCATACAATGCTGGAAGCAGAGCATGTATAGGCTGGGGAAGGAAGATAGGAATCAGAATAACGTGGTAAAAATCCGGTATCTTTCAAGAATTGCCAGGTTCTCTCTTCTGCTTTACCACCCGTTCCCTTAGGCTGTCTTCTGAAGCACACGCTTTTTGGTGTGTGCTGCTAGCATGAAATTTTTTCAGGGATGGATTTAAATTGACAGCCTTAATGCCTCAAGGCACCAGTAATATGTCCTTATACTGTTAAAAATACAGATAAGAAAAAAAAAAAAAAGTTTGAAAAGAGGAGTGAAATAGATGAACCGCTATTTTGTGGGTATGTTGGTATATTCCAGCTTGTTGATTTTGAGTGTTCTCTATGTTGTTCAGACATACATGCTCCTTAATTTTTTTTATTAGGTGAGCATTTTTTTTTTTTTTTTTAGATTCTTTGGAACTTACCCAATGAAAGTAAAGAAGAAATCTTGCACTAAATTAGGTGACAGAAAAAAATGTACTTTGTGTTTTGGTAGGTGGTTTATGAAATACCAGCATGTGGATCCTGAAGAAGCAGTAAGAATCCATATTGATGTTCAAGCAAAGAAGTCTGTAGCAATTCATTGGGGGACCTTTGCTTTAGCAAATGAGGTAAATTTCAACACTATACATGAGTTCAGATTTCCTGAGTACACAGTCATTAATGAAGCTTTGCTCTTGCAGTTTAACCTACATATCTGTAAATGTATACTTAAAATGTAAACTTTGTATGAGTGAAAAGTTACTATATGTACTGCAGTTAAAAACAATGCTTAGCTTTTCATAACCAATTACATAAAATATTTCCACGGCTAAGACTGATTTGAAAGTACAGAGTTATTGGAACAAATGTGGAGGACTTCTGATATCCAAAAGCTAAGGAACATGAACGGTGGGGACACATACGCAATAATAACAGTAAACTCAGTGGTGCATCACTTGGAGACGTTAAGAATTGCGTGCTTGTAGGTCAATACAGTATTTATTAATCTGTCTAGTAAATAAATTGAATAGCGTTTTTGATAGTTGATTTGTAGTTAAATACCAGCAAGAATATGAAAAACTGAGTTATTCTGAATTGCTGATTTTTTTTGTTTATTTTTTTATTCCTCCTCCCCCCGCCAAGTCCCCAGTTCTAATAAGGAGGTTACCCAGGTACCCTAACAGTGACTAAAAATGCAGCGAAAGGGAAGTATCTACATCTACTTTGATACACCTTGTCTGGTAGCTGTTTTTCAACCTTATCTTTGCATCAGTTGCACCACCTTGCCTTATAACTCAGTCCTGATGCTGTTAGCTATGTTCACCTGGTATGTCATGTTTTCTTTAACTTGGATATAACATTTTCTATCCATGATGCTTCTAATAAGCTGTGTGACTAGTGCCCGCGGTACCAATGCTATTGTGTATTTAGAAGCACAAAAAAATGGATGATTTCTCCCTGCTGATGCCTTTTCTGAAATGTAACCAACACAATGCAGTAACTTGAGGGGACCTCACTGAAATGGCACTGGTTTTTAAGCAGTGAAGCTGGCAGCTTTGTTTTGCTCGCCGAGAGAACGAGCCCTCCGCTGACCCGCGTGCCCGCCCTCCTCTGGGCTGGCAGCGAGCAACCGCCGGCTTTCTGCTGCTGGGAGATCCAGTTCAGCACGTGGACGACACTGGCTTTTGGATGACAGCTTGTGCCTTGCTAGCTACTCTACAACTGTAAATCAGCATTCTTGTCGTTTAAAAACTGAAAATGAAGCCAAACATTTTAATTTGACAAATATATCCCCCCCTTTTCCGATAATGTTTTAAAAGTAAACTATTTCTTGTTTAGAGCAGTGATGTTCTTTTTTTCCCCCAAATGCTGCAGTGGTATCTTTTCCCTTATTTTATTCTTATTTTTCCAGTACTACTTGGATCCTCCAGTTAAGCTGAATGAAGCTCTTGAAAGATATGGATTGAAAAAAGATGACTTCTTTGTCTTAAACCATGGAGAATCACGGGACTTGAGTACAAATGATGGATTTGAATAACGAAACAGTAGCAAGCAGTTCCTTGGAAGCTTCGTTTGATTTGAACTAGCAGTTAATGTTACAAATATTAATATGATGTACTTACAAAGTAGGTTTTTTGGAGTGAATTGGATTTTTAGATGCCAGGTTTGTCAGTTTCAGAACTAAAACTTGCATACCAATATCATGCTAAATTTTACTAGTTATATTGTTTATATGAGAGGTGATCAAAAAACTGGTTAATATATAAGCTATTGTCTGGGAATAACTTGCAGTTTCAACTCTTATGTATGCCACTGATAAATTACTGTTTTTATTGGTTGTTTTTTTTTTTTAAGAACTCTTCATCTTACCTGCAACAGCAATAATAACCTCAGCACAGGACATATTCTTAAAATTAATGGCTGACTTGAATTAGTCATTGTTAGTGTCATCTCCCACTTGTTAGTCATTAATCTTCAGGTTATGCCCTGTACCTTGATAGCTTCACTGTATGTTTTGTGGGGTGGAGTCTTCCAATACAGCTGTGTTGTTAAAGCACAAGCACAGTAAAATCATTATTTTACTGAGTGCTTCTACATTTTCGTATATTGACGAACCACAGAAGCTGAATTTTACAATGATCTAAAGAAACGTGCCTTTTAAAGAGAGAGATAATTTAATATTGCATCACTGATGTTTAAAACTTACTGCTGGCCAGAGTATGTGCACACTTGCATTGTTTTGTCAATATTTTTAAGTTAGGCCTGAATGTGTCTAAAATAACTTTCCTGTTACACGAAATCGAAGAATCCCTTAATGGCGCTTGTCTTTGCATTGGCTCAGCCTATTATTAAGTACTTTTTTTTTTTACATTAAAAGTCTTAAGCCAGGGCTGTGGTATTTTTTCTTATGGTTTCCCTATAATTTTAAAGTTGAATGAGAGATTACAACATTGTTCAGTATTGTAAAACTTGGCTAAATGTATCTGTATCAAATTGCCATGCTAATTTACAGAATTAAAGCCTATTGTTGCCAATAAAATGGGTTGTTATTCTCCTTCATAATTCATTGGCAAATCATTTTTTTGTTCATGATTTGTTGTGGTCTATGGTATATGTGTATTTTTTGCTCTTGCTGTGCATTACATTTTATGTTCATTCTCCATGAAGATAAATAAAAAAAAGACACGTTATTTCCCTGCAATTTAAAGACATGAACTTCTGGCAACTAATTAAAACCAGTTAATGAGATTTCATGCTAGGAGCAAACTGAAGTGATCTTTTAACTGTTGACAGTTATCTTTAAAAAATTTAGATCAGGAAGTTCTAGAAGTCTTAAAGATCTTAATACCAACAAAGAACAGCACAAGGAGGCAAAGCTCAGTTAGTCCAAGTCCATGCTGCAGAAGGGTTCTAGAACAGAGGATTACACTTAAATGTAAGAAAAAGTAGCTTATATTCCTTTGGTGGGATCCACACTTGACAAACATCAACATTTCTTTATGTGAAAAGTTAATTCTAATATGGTCTAGATGTATTCACCAGAATGTGTTCAAAACTGGTTTAAAACTACTCTCAGTCGGTCAGTGTTGATTTTTGGGAGGGTGTTTCAGATGAAGTCTCTGTTGGGCCTCTTATTTACACAACAGCTTCAGTAACGATTTTGGTAATACAATGCATGTTACATGTTCATAACATTGTGGAGGACACCAAGCTGCAGGATGTTTTGAGTACTTTGAAGGACATGGTTAAAATTGAAGTTGGGTTGTTTGTTTTGGTTTTGTTTTTTTTTTTTCAGCTTTCAAAATCATCAATAGACTATTCTGTGAAGTTCTGTACTTTAGAAAGAAAGAATGAAACTAAAATACAGAATACCTAGATAAGCAGCTACATAGCAGAGAAGTACGGACTTACAAGGATCAGAGCCTACATGTCAGTAATGGCATACGTTTTGTTTTGGATCTATTAATTTGTAGGATTTGTATGTAGAATGGTGACTGTTACGCTTTGCTTGGTGCTGATAAGATTCCATCTAGGGTGGGGGATGGGGGATAAAAAAATTACACACTTGTATGAAGACACTTTGGAGAGTCTTCCATGATTTCAAAACATCTCAATAGCATTGTTCTAGGAAGAAAGCATTTAAAAATAGCTCTTTCTAGACTGAGACAACACTGTAACAAGTTTTCATGTATTTTTAGAAAAGGGGACAATGGTCACTTGTTTCTGTCAGCTATCAAAGCAAAGGATAAGAGATCAACTTTAATTATCAAAAACATGATGTTTGAAAAACTTATTTTTAGGTTGGAGAACATGGAGAGGGATATCTGGACACCTCCATTGCTGAGCTTAAGAAAACATACATCTCTCAGATATACCTAGAACAGAGTAGTCCAAGTTCTTGTGTCAGAAGAGAAAGGTGGGATTGGTAAATTCTTAGTGTCTGACCTAGCCTTTATTTTTCTTTGTTAAAAACAGAAGCAGAAAAAAATTCAATCTACAAAAAGTGGCAAAACATTAAGGGATTGTAATGTAATTTGCTTATTGCAACAGGAACAGTGTTTTTGGAGCAGTGGGTTCGCTGTCAATGCAGCGATTGTCAGGGTTCTGACTGGGCATCACGCCAGCTTCTGTTCCCGCCTTAACTGTATTCCTGAGGAGCTACAACTACCTACGTATTGAGAACTACGTAGGTACCTTTTCTTTTTTCTGAATATGTAGTTACTGGCCTCCAACCAAAGGCTCACAGACAAAAAAAACCCCGAGAGAATCAAAGCGTGGTGCAAAATATTAATGTGGTGTTCAAATTTTAGCACAAATAATAGGTACTTGATTCTCCTCTACTGCCAAAACGGAGTTCCTCTGGATGTAGAAAAGCGTCTTAGTCCTTCCTGAAAACATGTGTGAAAGTACATGTGACCATGTGATCAGAGGTTAATTCCCTTTCTGGCAGCATTTTGCAATAGTTTCAGGTCAGTAATCTTTTTCTCAATACGTCGGTAGCTATTGTAGGTAGCTACAACTACCTACAACTTACCTACGTAAACTACCTCCCTACATGTAGCTTTACCCGGTATTGATCAGGGCATAAATATGTTCTATTTTCAAGGTCACGTTTTTCTTGCAGTTTGCAAAGTTGCCTACTGAAAATAAATAAAATACCTGTTGAATTACAGAAAGAAAGTAATATTTTATTAAGTGCAGAGTGGGTATATTAACTTAAAAAGATGAAGCATCTGCTAACAGTTTAGGTAATACATCTCTCAAAAATGGTAAAAGGTGGAAAACTTGTTTTCTAGCCTTTTTACATCTGATGCTCCTTTTACTTTCTTTATGATGCGGTGTTCAGGAAGCTTTAGTAGTCTCATTTTAGTATAAAGTGTTTTCTACTACATTTTATGTTCATCAGTGAAACTTCCTTCAGGTTCTTGTACAACGATGTTTATATGTATGCCATTTCATTTTGAATTAGCACTGCGTCGATGACTAAAACTTTATGGGGGCTAACTGAACAGAGCACTTATTCTGATGGCGTTCCAGTTGCGGAGCAAAAGGAGTAAAGCTCTCCAAGGAAAGTGGGCTCAAGGGCTGCTACAGAACAGGAAGCTTTTGTAAAAATGTGTATGATACTGCGCTTGTAGATTTTATTTTATAAAGATGAGACTGTTGAATTGCAGTCACAGATAATCTTTGACTCATAATAAAGTATTTTGAAAAATATGTATGCTTTCCTTAAAGTGACAATTTTGAAGCAAGATAAAATCCTTTTCATTTTTTTCAAGTGGGGAAACCTCACACGGTTGTGGTTAACTGCACGGCAGTTTGGCTAAATGGAATGCATATGCTAAGCGTATGAGAATGTAGTTTTAGAATATATTCTCTACAGGTAAAGTGAAAAAACATAGGCTGGGTAACTTTAATATGCAGCTTTCATTGAAAATACTAATAATATGGTACCATTCAGTAATTTTGGTTGTGTTTGTGTTTGTTTGGGTTTTTTTTAGCATAGCATTCTGAAGATTAGATATTTCCATCACGTCAGTCTGTTTTTTTTTTTAAAAAAATCACTATTGTGTTAATATTCTCACAACTTGCTCTTTCACTTCTGTATCGGGGTGATGCAATAAAGATGCCAGTTTCTGAGCGAATGGGGTAGAGTCCCTGCAGAGTGTAAAGAAAACTGAATCTTCACTGTATTGCTCCTGAATCACGGAGCCATCTTCATTGTTCATGTTCTTTTTCAAGTTTGCTGCAAACGCCAGGGCTCTAAGCAGAATATCTCTGTTCATACAGGTGTCAAAAAGTAACAGCAATGACGGCACCTAGGATATTCAAGAAAAAATCCATACTTAATCACCAGCAGTAAGTACACGTAACTAAATCTAACTTAAAAAAAAAGAAAAAAAAATCTGCACCTAAATCATCTACAACAGAAATCCTGTGAAATACCATAACTGTATGCTGTGAAAGCATGCCAGAAACTTGCACAGCACGCACATTTCCCCTTTAGAAAAGACTGGCTTGTGCATTAGCCTTATCACAGGCTAATAAATGCTTTGTACTTTCAATCTCCAAAATGTGGCTGTCTGGAAAATTCCCATTTGGAAGAGAGGGGCTGCTTTCCTTCTCAATAATGTCGCTTTTGCTCTCTGCTGTGATCTGAATGTTTTTATGTCAGCACATCTGATAAACAGAAAAAGGATAGACTTTTAACAGAGAACTGAATATTTAGCTACCGTAATCTTGTTTTGGTAATGAAAAGCCGGTAGTATCTGGACTAGCTTTGCTCATGGCAGATAGATAGCTCAAAAATAAAAGCTGCTGTATGTTTTCAGAAACTGACTTTGGGGAGGTGGAGGAGGATGCAGCACCATCCCAGTCCCTGCCTCTTTGTTTTGGTGTGAGGAAAGGATAGAACTGAAATAAACCTGTATGCCAAGGCCAGCGATAGCAAATGGCAGACAGAGTTCTCCACAAAGACAGGAGTAAATGCACAGGGAAAGTTCACTTACAGTGCTTAGAGACGACAGTTTTATGGCTGCATTTGAGGAAAGGGGTGGGGATTTCAGTGGAATTTGGTCGTCTTAGGTACAGTTGTTAGCTCTAGAAACAGTCGTTGAGAAGGCTCATTTACAGTACTGGTTCTATTTGATGTTTGTACCTGGACTTCAATCTATAGACTGACTGCGCGTCTGGAAATGAGGTTT